CTATTAATCTCTTTTTAACGTTAGCATAGTTTATTTCATTCGAACGGTTACTTAATGCGAGAATAGAAAATAATCAGAGAGAACTCCACTCGCTAGCACGCAACGACCCCCAATATACCGTATATCCAAAATACCGTTGCTATTTCATTAGTCCATCCTCTTCAACAAAGATATGACAACAATTTAATGTAAAAACCATTTAATGAAGTCTGTTGGTGTTCATGGTGTTGTTGTTTTTGTTGATGGTGATGGTTGATGGTTGATGATGATATGTGCACGCGCGAAAGAGCAAACCATTAGTTGGGGACAATGTACTGCTAAATACGTCTGCATTTGCGATACATAACTTTTCTCTCAAACGTCATTATCACATCAATATTGCCAATAACAGTCTTTAGTCACCGTAAGAATTATCAGAAGTTCTGATGTACGTTCGCTCATTTTCTCTATCTCACCTAATGCGCAACGGCAAAATAAACCCGTAAAACTTTAAATAAGATCACATCCATGTGAGGTAACACTAATCGATTAAATGTTTGCACGAGATGTTGATGCTATTTCCAAATAAATTCGAAGCAACGACGACGATGGCTGGAAAAAGAGCGTAAAAGTGAAAATGCATCTGTCAATGGGTAAAAATTAACGATGAAACTGTAATGTGAATAGATGCTGACATCATGTCATTAATTATAATCGACACAATAAGAGCACACAGTTAAATTTCATTCGCAATTAGACATGATTTTTACTGCAAGCACTGCGTATGACCTGTTTTGTGTGTCTGTGTGGTACATCTTACCTCTTACTTCCATTAAGCCAACCTTTTTGCTCGATACGTTCGATAAACTTTCATTTTAAGAACTGTCTGCCAAATGGAAAAACCCGATCCCCCTTTTTTTCGGTGTCTTTACCGGTTTTGACAGTCGTCAGGTTGTAATTTGATGGTCTTCAATGAAATCGTGTGATATAGCTTACGAATAATGAATTTTGTCTATGTGTGAAAAGTTATAGTTAACATTTTTGGTTATACGCTATATACTGGTGTGTACACGCGGTGATGAGTTGATTTGTGCTCAACGCCGTTTATTTGGAAAATGTGAATGTGAACGTTGGAATGATTGATGATGCTGAGAAACGGTAACGTTGTAAATATAGCACATGAAGAAGTTGAAAAAGAAAAGAAAATAATTATTTCACGTTAAATTTCCGCCAAGTAAAATAAATCCCATCTCCAACCCGTGCATGTGCTATGATGCTCGCGTATTTCCTGTGCTACATTACATGAACGGGAAGATGATTAAAAAAAAGCGTGGGCAACAAAATTCGAAACTGATTCTACTCACAATTGTGCAAACGTGCGCTATTGCAATGTCATTACGCCAATAGTTTGCACACTTGATGTGCACCTTCCACTAAACTGCGTCTCACATCAATTATTTTCCTATCAATATCTTTTTTCACTTCCACCTTTCTCATCGTCTCTATCTCTATATTTTACTCGTGCAAATACAAAATGGATCACAGCATGATAAATCAGCTCATAATTAAAAGACACCGTCTCTCGACAAATATGAAAAAAAAAAAACAAAGGATAAAACTGACATTGTTTACTATTTTCTAACGTCAGCAAAATGTTGTTATGTATATGCGCTTCAAGCAAAACCAATGCTGTGAACACAAGCAATAAAATATCACGATTGAATATATTACAACAATGTAAATTGACAAGTTTCGAACATTGTGTGCATGAAAACCATGTGCATAATATGAAATTGATCTAGAATTTGGCCATAAAAAAATGTGTGACAGCAATGTTTCTACATTTTATATCATCATTATAATGGAATACATTTTATATTTCTTGTAAAATGGATAACATTATCACATTCAGGTGAATATTCATTAAATGTCTATTTATCTTATTAATAAGTGTTATCATCAGTATTTAATCGCTGATTCACACATCACAGAACATTTTGCCTTCGGAGTTTTGAATGTCGCGGAAAATGTTAAAAGATATAATATAGAAGTCAGTTGCGCATATGACACTTATCTCATGTAATTATGAGGAAAATAAACGACTTTGAAGCCATAATGCGTTTAAATTAAATAATGTTGATACGAAGCCACACATTCGCTCTGGCTTACACTCAGTTCAATGCCTTTCGCGTTGGTGACGCGCTGTTACTGTTACTGTAACGGTTTTTATTCATTGCATTGGCACAACGCTATTTTCAATGCAAATTGACAAGTAAATGAATAACACTTACACACTACATTATTTTCGGTTCATAATATATACATATTCGTATATATTCATATATTCACATCTGACCCCGTAATCGGTTTGGGCCATGAATTTGATCATTGCTATATTCCATTGTCGAACCATCGAATCCGATACAAAACTTTCCTATAGGTAAATTAATGAATTCAATTAAGATAAATAACCATGATTTAATGCAAACGGATGAATTTAATAGTGAAACCTTATCTATAGATTGAACTAGAACACTTGCAGCTGGGCTGGACTGCGATTAGTGGTTAGATAATGGGCTCGACTCGGTGAAAAAAACCGGGAAAATCGGAAAATAATGAACGGTGTGTTTTATAATGCGTTTTCATTTATGTCTGTATCTATCTGTGTGTTGGCATTGTTTTTTTAAAACCTTTTTTGTTGTTGTTGTTGACACAACCATGGTATGAGTATCGACTGAATTCATTCTCACTCGAATCACACATTACCCCATAAATACCACAATGGCAATTTCAAAAGACAAATTTCGCAATCGGCAAAAGCCAATACCAAACACACATTGACCATTAAAATGATAACAATACGGTAGAAAGAAAGGCAATGGACGGGTCGCAAGAAAAGGGAAGAGCGCAAGAGAGAGAGACATAGATAAAAGCAAAAAAATATTCGACACAAAATTCTATCATAGTTTGAACACCACGAAATTTGCATACTCATCTCTTGAGGTATGGGGGGTTGGATGGATATATTCATGTAAATATTTGTATTGCTTTATATGCGCACGACATGTACACATACGATACACATCACATTGTGTATATTTGCGCACACAAGGCATATGACCAATAGGAAGTGCATGCACTGTTATAGAGAGAAAAAGCATTAAATTGTTACACAAATCGATAGTGACCATCGGTTTATTGGATTATCTATAAATTTTTTATTATATGATTTACCAAAAATAGTCGGCAAATGTTTTGCAATGCTTTGCAAATGGTGGATCCAACAATGGCAACGGTTTTTGTTGCATTTCTCTATGCACACAGTGCACGTATAGTTCTGTTTGGTGGGCCCCTAAACAATGACAATATTTTTTTTTTGCTTTCTTGATATAAACACCATAGACGGAACGAGAAAAGAGAGAAAAAATAATACCCTATATTAGCTACTGCTGACCGTGTTCGTGTAGAAATTTCCCATCCAAAATAAATACACAACATAGCTAAAAGGCATGAATTATGAAAACGTCGATGTGTTTGCATTCAGCAAATGCATCGATTGAATCGCAATCGAATGCACACACACACACACACGTTTGCAAATGTCGAATTTCAAATGTTTCACCACATTCACTTTACGGCGTCATTTTTTGATGTGCTTATCGATAATACATTGTGCCGAGTACTTTTCAATGTGTCGTACATGAAACAAAGCATGTAGGTGCATCGAAAAACAATGTACTCTGTAATGAATTCATTGGAAGTAAGTTAAACTTATCGTATTTGGGATTGAGTTGAGGCCACCAACAACGAAAAATCCATTTTAACGATGCGATTTTTAGCTTGAAATTCCCAAACTAATGAATTGTATTTGTTCATGTGTGTGTTTGTATGCAGTTGCAATGAATAAACTTTGATACCGATACAATATTGACTCTTCTTCACTATATCATTTATAATACATACAATATTTTGACGTCAGGCGTCCCAACGAAAATAGTTTTGCTTTGTAGCATTTTTTATTCTATTGTTGCTTACTTTTAACTATCGTTCGCTTTCCGTACCAAAGACACATTTCACATTTATTACGTGCAAAATGTCTGGTGTGTAATACGTAAAATGTAACGTGCATTGATTTTGAATACAAGTCATTTCAATTAATGTTTTGGCACATCGCCTGCGGATGTGTTCTCTGAATATTCTTCTCTATTTACCGCTTTGCTATTTATTTATCTTTTTTTCGCTGGATTTGGTGCAATGACCGTTCGCATCCACGTGATAGTTATATGCATTTTCATGGAAGTAGAACAAATTCACGCCTGTGTTTGTTTTTTTGCACACACCCAATCATATTTTTGTATATATATGTGTGTGTGTGCTTAACTATTAACCGAATGCATCGCAGTTTGAACGATAGGATTTATGCAATAAAATCGATCGGATCACAATTACAAACCATTAGTGTGCAGACTCATTTTGAATAGACAATGCACGTTGAACTCGTTAAGTAAATAATATATGATCACATCTGGTTGACAAGCAATCGCCATCTCATGAATGTCGATTATCGAAATGTGCCATTTTGAAACTGACGCGATGCATTCCATTTTTTTCTTTTTTGCTGTTGCTGTTATTTGAATAGCACTGCTGCATCTCTCACTCTCTTATCTCTTGTTCTTCGTGTTCGTTCGTACTTCATGGCCGGCAATGCATTTTACCCATTTCTAGATTACATGTTTTACCGAAACGATAATACACATACACTAACTATTTTTGGGTGATTTTGACTTTTGCGGTTAAATCATCCATAAATCGAATGAAAATAGAAGTACACTGTACAGCTTATTGGTCTATTAGTCATGCACAGCGTTTAAAACTGTTCAATTTAATTACAATTGACATTTTGAGCACAAAAGTGCTTTTTCATTATTACAATGAACACTTTTATTGATGCATCAAATCAAAATATTTTCCACTCGAACAAACTGATTTTAATCGATTTACTTTTTTTGTTTTCATTGCAGGTTTTGGATTTGTCACATTTCAAAGTGAAGATGTCGTGGATAAAGTATGTGAAATTCATTTTCATGAAATAAATAACAAAATGGTAAGTGTTGTCTATTCTATCCTCATGATCGTTTTGTATCCAACGCACATATAATTTGCAAATTAAATTCGACGTACAGCAATATCCGATATTGTGGCAAAAATGCCTGCTAAATCGTTAATTGTTTCTTTGTCGTGCGGTATTTTAAGGGCACAAAACCCCGTTAACAAATAAATCAATCTTCGAAGCTCAGTATCAATTTGACAGCATCCCTTGAAATAATGAAAAAAAAAATCATACACACCCCAGAGGCAACACCAACAACAAAAATAGACGACTTTTCAAAAGCCAACACACTGTTCGGTGTTTATCCATTATAAACCGAAATTAGATACAACCGAATAACGGTGAAATTACAATTAAAAATGACTTTGTATGGGCAAGAGAAAAAAAAAGAAGAAGAACGTGGGCTGTTTTTAGATGCTTCTTTTTCACATGCCACATGCACACACCTCTAACATACATCTTTTCGCTCTTTGTTCCATACGATGTGGCAGTTTACCAGCACGAGTACAAAAGCGCGCATATAATTTTTATTTAATTTTTTTTTATTTGCTCATAATAAATTTTAAGCTCATGCTGACTCATCGTTTAATGATCGCTAAGAGGCTATATAGCATTTTAAAGAGAAACGTGATTAATAGGTTTGTTCATGTTTTCCTCCTTTTTTTATGCGTCGTGTGTGTGCTTATATTGTTTGTATTTGCACGAGCGAGAGTGAGATGTGGATTTCATATCGAACGAAATGAAAAGAAAAAAAACTTTGCTTCAGAATATACTTTCGTAAATATTTCGCTTACGGTTTTCTTCTTCCGCTTATCTGCTTCCCAACAATTTATTTTCTCATTTTCGTTTTCAACCGTTTTGATACTATTAATTTTATTTTTGTGCGTTGTTGCGTGAGAGAATACGTGGTTGCGTATGAAAAAGAGAAAAAAAAAGACGGAACATTCTTAGTAAGAACGATGGAAAATCCGTAGCCAAATCGGCCAAAATAGGCTTTGCCACCAATTGAACAGTCCACAGCATTGTGACTGGGCGGATAATTCGTGTAGAACGCGCTTTTATCATTCACCTATTTTTGTCAAAATCACATTTATACATTTGGTGAATACATTTTTCTTGCCATTTCCTACTGGCAGAAATGTGAATACCAGTTGTAAAATGTACGTACACTGACTACCATTCAGAGTACAAAAAGAATGCGTGTCATAAAGAAAAATATGGATGCAAACACTCTAGGTAAGATGGTGGCCCCAAAAAAAAGGAAATTTTTCATCGTTACTTCCACTTCCTTCAACTTTTCATTGTCGATTTTTTCCGCTTCTTCTTCTTCGTTTTTTAACAGCTACTTTCAGCCTAACTCAGCCTCATTGGCAACCTAATTCCTATTGCCACATTCTTTTCCGTTCGTTGTTTGGTTGGTTCCTTGACGCTTTTGATAAATGAATTGTACGATTTTCATTTCTAATTGGATGAGTGATATTTCAAAGTAGCCGAGTTTGTTTCGTGCAAATGTTTAAGCATTCTCGTGCTCACTTTGCATTTTACAAACGCATCATTTCGTCGGGCATCATCCCTGTCTACACTATCACGTAACCGAATCAAATTATTCCGAAAGTTTTCCAATATGTATGAAACGCGTACGTGGCAAATCTTTTGTAAATCGTTACGCTTGCTTTAATCATTTTTGGTAAATGCGCTAAGCACCGCTGTGAATATACTCGTTATGCTGTACATAATTATGAATATTAAGGCGTTAGTGTGTTTGTGTGCGCGTTTGTATGGTGTCGTGCAAGGTTAAGTGAGAGAAAAAGATTACGTCGTGTGAAAGTCCATTTTAGAATTGGTGTCAACGCAACACCAACCGAAAATCATTGTTGCAAAATCATGTTTTAATTTTCTCACTGCGCCAATTCGTCGAACATTTTGGCGTTGTTGGCTCAAGAGAATGAGAATTAGAATTCAAGCAAACGCACACCATTCAGCATAATATTTGCAAAACATTCTGCCGTTGATTCGGTTTGGTCGGTGGGGGTTTGTGTTGTGCGAGCTCATTTTCAAGCACACAGACCGTCAAATTAAGCATTCATTAAATGTTTGCGTTGTTCGGTTTTACTGCTGTACATGTACACAATGAGCTGTTTTATTTCGTTTATGTCGCAAATAACTATTAACTGCCAAATTTCACTCCGTCCATACTCCGAACTATGCAGAATGAAATTACCAAACAGTTTTGATAATGATAGTGGCAATAGTCACACAAATTGAAATCACAAACAACAATAGATATTTTCTTCAAAAGCAATGGCAAAACAATCTTTTTATACTGTTTCTGTAAATGGCCATTCAAAAATATGACATTCACAGCAAAAGTTTAATAACATCAACAATTACAATAAAAAGAAAACAAACACAACTGAAGTCAAATGAAAAATTCGAATGGCAAATGTTTCAAATTTGCTTACCGACAATGCTACAAAATAATTACACCATACAAAATTGGGTATGGTCAAAAGTGCGAGCCCTACAAATAAGCATATTTGTGTAATAAAGATCTAAGCTGATTTTATGTTTTGTTCGTGTAATTCCATGCGAAAACATTTTCTTGCCAAAGCGGCTTGGTCTACGTGTACGATTATCCGCCTGTCTATTCATTTCGGTTGTAAGTTTTGTTCGAGCGAACATGGTCGCTTCCACTCAATGTATTAGATGTTTCCACTGAAAATCAAGCATTTCCAACAGAAATGTGCTATATAATTAATTTGCAGTTTGAGCCATCATTGAATGGAAATGAGTTGGCGGTCAAATGTTGGCTTTGAAATGGTTTCTAAAAATTGCGTTCCGTTTGATTTTTGGCAGAAGCAAGCGTTTATAGCACCAAGCTGATTGCATGAATGAAACATAATCTTACCGCTCTCGATTCTCTCTTAGCACTCACCGCAAATAAGTGAATTTCAGCCGAAAATTGAGGATTTACATTGAAATTCAACCCTATTTACATTTACATGCTCGCCTCTCTCTCGCTCTTTTTCGCATTGCTAAGAAAAAAACAAAAACCAAAAAAACCGAATAACAACTACAACAGTATCAACGACAAAAAGAAACAGACGACAACCAAAAGAAAAATGGGAAAAAGAGGACGAACATGTACGCAGTATGGTAGTTAGTGTGCATGCCGCACTTTGTACACAATGATGGTTAGCTCTCATTCTCATTTTTTCTCAATTTGGTTTTTCTCAAATGTAACTGTCGCACATAACCGTGTTGTATTTGATGCTCTTTGTGTTTTCGAATGCGAAATTTCCACATAACCAATTTAGCACATAAACGTGGTGCGACGCATGAGAGCGAGAGCGGAAAAGAGATGGGTACATGGGAAATTACGAAGAAACGAATGAGGGACGTTGATTTGAATCGGTTTCGTTTAGAAAGATGAATTCTGCTGTCATTTATGCTCGGTTACAATTATATTTTACCCTAAACAATGTGATTAAACTGACAGCCAAATGATTTTGAATGTACGTGAAGTGAATACTGGAAAATGGACTTTGTGCACAGCCGATGTGCCGTACACTTTCTCTTTTCCATTGCCAGTTCTTCGCTTGCTCCCTCGCTCGTTGTCTCGCTGGTTGTGTTGAGAGAGAGTGAGATTCTGTTTTGGATTTTGGTACTACAGGAATGCACGAACGACAACAACGAAATTATTTTAAGTGGAGTTGTTTGAGTGCGTGTGTAAACGTTCATATCTTGATTGCTTGCGTGTCTTTTGCCTCTCTCTTTTTCTCGCTTCCGTCTCTTCGTACATTGACTATAAATGGTGCCATTAGCAAATGAAAAACGACTCTAGAATTTATCGCAATGCAAGCGATTTTTGTATGATTTTCATTGAGTGAATAAATTGCGGTGTTCACGTGAGCTAACTCAAATTTACCGCCAAAATCAAATGCACAAACACACACACTCGCACACAATCTGGACGACCAACAAGCACAATAGATCATCGAAAAGAGGAGGAGAGTAAAAAAAATTTCAAACATGAAATGATTTAAATAGCATACTCAACACAAGCAGTCTGCGACACAATTCGGAGCTGTTTTCGCCCTCATTCGCTGATGTATCAATTCATACATACAAATTGTAGAACTTGCAAAAATAAAAATTGTGAAGCATACTGTAAATGAAAGCTTTGGATACAAAATGGGATCTTTGAAAAGAAAATTGATTCAATGATTTAAGTCAAATTCTGATGATTTTTTCTTTTTCTTTTTTTTCAATATTCTTATTTGTCTTTTCATTAATGTGACCGAACATGTGAATCGATGTGATTAGGTTGAATGCAAAAAAGCGCAGCCGAAAGAAGTGATGCTCCCGACGAATCTTGCCAAAACGCGCGCATCCGGAAGGACGGCATACGGTGAGTTGGTAGTTTTGAGTGGTGGGCCATCAACAACAGTTGGTGCACCTAGTTCTTTACGATATGCACCCTATCCATTGCCAGCATCAATATCTGGTATTCAACATCATCATCATCATCACCAACAACAACAACAATACCATCACCAACAATTACAACAGCAACATGGTGTGGCTCATCATCAAACTGCTCATATAATTGCAACTCCAGCGGCTCCATCCATTTTACAATATTCGCCGTCACCACAGCAAACGCTGTATGACACGGCCGCTGCGCTCAGTTATAAGCGCCTATTGGCTGCAACAGCAACTGCATCGTTGCGTTCGCATCCCCATCATGCCCATCAAATGCCGTCAACGACGGCAGCAGCGGCCGCAGCAGCTGCTCAGGTCACGGCAACGCCACGTGCAACTGCCACTCTATCCTATCCTCTGTCCGAATTACTTGGCCTGCAGCCGCTGGATATGTCTCGTACATTTTTCTTGTAAAAAAAAACACAAAACATTCCCACCGAAATGACGAAGCTTTTTTTCTCGTATTCGCATTCGAAACATTCATATCCATGCCATTTTTGGCATTCTTCTCATTCTACCGGACACCATACATTGTGGATGTGTTGCGTTGAGTTGCGCGCAAACAAAAAAAACAACAACAACCAAAACAAATAATTTCCAAAACCAAATTTAACAAACAAGCTCTTTACGGCATTCCACAGCAAACATTCATCATTAAATCCATTTATTTTCATTACTTCACTTTAACCTGTCACACATTTAAACCATGACCGTTTTTCATAGATATATACAGTACATATATATATATATATATATCTTTCAAATGATATACATATATATGTATATATAAATATCTTTTTGAATTGTTAAACAAAAGTAATTTAGATGAAAATGAATCAAACTTTGACAACTCAGTTCTTTGTAATTTCAAACTGAAAAAAATATATATAGATAATAATAACATTTGAAAAAAAAAAATTAAGAAATGATGATACACACAGTGCACACAATGAAATGAAAATGATAAATCACACAAAAGCTACACAATCAAGTTGCACTAGTATGTATAAAAGTAAATATTTGTTTGGTGAATAAAGAGAATAAAAAAATGAAACACATTTCAACGAAATACACAATGAATATCAAAACATAATGCATACTATATTCAATTTTCAATGCATAATATACTCGAAAAAAGTTTTAATCTGATTTAGGAGATCGTATAATAGATCTAAAATAGTATTATTTATATATAAATGTTGTTTTAATATCTATCACTGAGAATATTCGAAATTAGATTAAGAAAATAGTCACACTTACATACAATTATCAATGATTCCGTAAATTAACAAACTCCTTTATCAAGTCCTTTTATTCGTGGATCAATGTATTAAACATATAATTTTCATTTTGTTAAGAATTTACTGTGTAAGCAATCAATTTTTAACCAGTGGTTAGCCAATTTTGTCGACATATCAGGCGCACAGTTTTGAAAAAAACATAGTTACAAAACAAACATTCCAAATCGTGATTTTGTAATCGATTCAACGGTTTTATTTTACATGCAAATAGCTAGAAAAATAATCAATTGGACTTTATTTTTATTTTTTGAAATTAATATTGAATATTTTCTTTTATGTTCTCTTTTGAAACAACTGTGTTGTATAGAAAAACAAAACATTTATTTCATTTACTTAGTGGTTTTGTATCGGTTAGACAATGTAAATTTTTCGAATACTATACAATATAACCGTTGTATAGTATCGATTTTTCGTCATTTGCCAGATGAGAACATTTTGGTTTTAGGTATAGTGAGTGGTCTCAGTAGGCCAAATTCATGAACCACAACTCTTTTTTACTTTAGATTAGCGACATTTTATTCCAATTTACTTATTTCTAATATTTGCCTGGTTCGGACGTGTGAGTACATATTCGATTTTTATTATATTCAAATAGTGCAATATACTCACACAACGATAGGTTACATGTTGACTAAATAGAATTTAAACCAAATAGAATAACCCAAAAACAAAATTAAATCAAATAGCGCAAGTAATTCCACTGAAATAATTAAAATTTTTAAATAGAAAACAAACGAAACATCATGTGATTTCGAAGCCAAACAGGCATAGAAAAACAGTATTTTCATTGTAGCTTGAGGAATTAAACAGCAACAACAAAAACACAAAAAATCAGATTTTTTGCCAACAATGTAAATGACGATTTTCAATTAGATATCTTTTATTGATTAGTTAAATGTTCCGTAAATTTTAGTTTATATAAAAGCCAAAAAAAAACAACAACATATAAATAAGTTCTAACTTCATATGATTACAATGAAATCTCTATGTTTCAGTAATACAGCCCAAAAAAAAATCAAATTCATTTAGATAAATTTTAGATTTTACAGACACATTTTTTTAAATGTAATTTTTAACAGAAAAAAAAACAATTTATTATAATATGCCATAAATAGATATTAATATATATAAAAAAATGTAATAATTAAGAGAAGCATAGCTGATTAGATGAGATCTTAGATCTGAACCAACACCACCCAAAAGAAAGAGAAAAGAAAAACCATTGATGCATTATGTGCAAGGTACCTCGAGGCCCAAACACAAAAACCAAAAACCGCCAACAGCTTCACAGAATAAATCGCAATGTCACGCAAGCCAAGAGAGAGAAAAATTATTGTTGTGTATGTGTGCGTTTTGTTTTGAGCTTGTCGACTAATAATTTATTTTTCATTCCGATTTATACTAAACGTTGCCATTACCTGGTTTAACTTTCTGGGCCACTATTGGGAAGTATTGCCTCGTCACTAGGTAGATACATGCTAATCTCATTCTCTTTTTTTAACTTACTTAACGAAAACAATTAAAAAAAAAAGAATTTTAATTTTTGATTTTGAGTTGGTTTTTTTTTGGTTTAAACTTTGAACGTAACCATTTCATAATTATTAATTACCATAATAATCGTCTTAGTTGAGTTCACCTAGTGAATTTTCAAATTTTTTGGTCAAACTATATTGACTGGCGTTTTTTCAATTAGCTACGTAGCATTTACGATAGTTCAAAATTCGATCGATTCGAAAAACTAAAGCAACAAAGAGTAATATTCAAAAGTATAGAGTCACACAAGTTGATAACATTTTGCTTTCTAACAAGAATTGATTCAGTTTTTTTTTGCTTTTTGTTCACTTTTTATATCAACATTTTCCCATATAATCTATTTATATTGTGTGAGTATATGGTTTTTCGTCGACGGTCCAGATGTTGTGCTGTTTTACTTTTTGTTTTGTTTTGCGTGTATTTAGTTGTTCTAATTGTTGGAATTGATTTCTATCGCTTTTTATCTCTTTGTATTAAGCGACAAATGTACCCGAATAGAAATGTTGAATTCAAACGAATAATCACGTATTTGTTTTAAAACAAATGAATAACAATGCTTTTATATCATTCATAAAGACTTTCTCTCTCTCTTCTTCTCACACACAATCTCTCTCTCTCGCATCCCGTCTATTTCGTGTACATCAAAATCTGATTGAGTTCCATTGAACACCGACTATCTATTAAAAAAAAAAAAACATTTCGCTATATTGAAGTGTTGATGCATTTAATTTTCTTCCAAATGAACAAAGAGAATAAGACATTGTGTTGGTCTTGCTCTGATTGCCATACACGTTAATAGAAGATTTAGCTTAAAACAAGTATTATATATCGAGATATAGATTATTTTTGTAATAATTTCTTTACACTATAATTAGTTAGCAAAGCATCATATAATGAGAGCTACAACGGGTGTTTAATGCCAAACTGAACACAGTAGAAAAAAAAAAGACGAAAATAAAATCCCCGAATACACTCTTTCAATACCAATATCAACCGGTTAAATGGACTTTTGCTTTAATCGCAGACCAGTGCACCATCGATTCCTGCTGCAAAATTTACAACACCGACCGATAAGCCATACAATGAATGAAACATTCAAAGTGATCTTAATTTTAGAAATCGTAGCGAAATACCATTAGATTTTTTCTTTAATTCTTCTCTAGAGAAGTGAGCACATCATCCAATATTGTTTTAGTTGCAGTCATGTGATATAAATACGAAAATCGTTTGCATTTTTTACGAGGCGGGTCAAATTTTGTTATAAATAACACTATATGTCAACTGTGATTTAGAAATAATCGATTCGGATGTGTATTTACAACCGAGTATGGGGAATTTTTTATCACATGATTAAACATTTATAGGATGATGTCGCTAACATTTTATTTCAATTTAACTTTGTTAGAATTCTATTTTTTGGTTTTCAATTATAAGAGTTCCTAGTCAGTAGTTTCACAGTATTCAAACGATCAACGCTGCAGGTTCCAATAAATAAATATGACAATTTTTTATTTATAAATTTGATTAAGTATAAATGAGCAAAAATCCTTTCTTCCTCAAATTGAGGACCTCAATGGAAGACACTTTTCTAATTTCTTGCAATCAGACATTATATTGACATATTTTCAGACAGATGAATCAGATCAGCGCTGAAATGAAGCGGCAACAAGGATGTGATTGTTTGATAGCACTGTGTGTCATTTTTCAACTTCAAAAATCTAACTAACATGAAAGACACCATTTCCGCATAATTTTGGGTCACTGAATTCAATTCATTCGATTTTCTCTATCGCGTCGGATTTTTTTTATAATTTTCCTTGGACATTTTTTGAAAATCCCAAAATGGCATCAATTTTTAAAAACTTTCAAGGAAAATTGTAAAAAACTCCGACGGGATAGAGAAAAACGAATGATGCATTTGAATTCAGCGTCCCAAAATTATGCGGAAATGGTGTCTTTCATGTCAGTTAGATTTTTAGTGACGCACAGTGTAGCTATAAAAACACTTCCATTCTTACAAACAACATAACAATCACTTCTATCATTTTCACTCCATTTCAGCTCCTGACGATAGCAGCCTGCGCTGATTCAGCTGCCTAAAAATATCTCAATGTCTGGTTGCAATTGAACTTTATTGTATTACTTGAGTCTCTTTCAAGTTGTGATATTAATGGATTTGATTCATTAAAAGCCTTACAAATGTATCTCTCACACATTTGAAAAATGTGCGAATTAAACGTTTGCAAAATAATTGTTTGTTTTTTGCGCGTTGAATTAATTATGTTTTCCAATTCAATGGTCGACTCACTACTATCCATGATATTTATTCAATTAAAATAATTATTATGTTTTTGTGATGACAGACAAAATGGCCTGCAGCTGTTGTGATTGGATCATATCACGGTTGATAATATCACGGTTTCGAAAAAAAAATCAAACCAAACAAAATAAAATCTATAATTTAGTTAAATGAAATATTGTAGTAACAAAATCGCTAAAATCCATTAGAGATTATAAACGAATGTGAAGAAATGTCAATTTTTTTATAATTGCGAAAACAACATTGCGCAAATATTGTGTCACGTGTCAAAATTAGATGATCAAATATGTAACCATATCTGATTATAATTCAATTTTATACACATAAATATTTTATATATTACGTACATATTTAGATCTATAATCCTTAGCAAAACCATATATAATCCAATACATGTAATTGTGTCCGGAACTGATATATGTAAACGAACAAAAAAAAAATCGAGATAAAAATGTTGTTTTTATTTTTCTAACAAAAAAAAATAGTGCAAATTTATTTATATTAATTGAAATAGTGATTATTGCAATGTTAATGCAAAACAAGCAAGTCGCCTACTGTGCCAAATCATTTTCTCCATATTTATACATATAATCAAATTTTGTACTGTATTTTGTTTACATTATTAGTAGGTAATACGCAAAATAGTCGAAATATATTTAAAACCAATAGATATCTCTCGTCCAAATGAACATTTACATATATATACATAATTTGTTAACATTAGCGCAATACATACTAGATGCAATAACAACATAAAACATATATAATCAAACATAGAGATTTTTTTAACTGTAGTGATACCGTCGATTCCTACTAATTCATTGTCCGTCACTATATAATTTTTTGGTGGTTTATTTGTGAGATTTTAGATTTTTTTTTTATGTTCCATTTATATTTCTCCAAAATCGAAAAATGATACGAAAACAAAAAATAAACGGTGTCGGAAAACCATTTTTCCATCCACACATATATACATATATAATATTCGTTTATATTCGTTTTTCGTAATTGATATTCGTCGATAAAAAAAAAATGACATCTTTTTGAGTCTACAAGCCAATATACATATATATAAAATATTTTATTCAAACAAATTGTCCAAACAAATTGCAACAACATCAACAACAAAAACTAACTTTCGTGTTTTGTTTCTTTTCTATGCACATTTATTCGCACACGACACACAAATTCAAATCCGATCAGATAATATTATGTGGGGATTGGGAACATTACCAGAAGGTGAGTACTTTTTTTATCATTTTTAAATCGATAACACTTATTTAGAGCATACACAAAAAATCGCTTAACTTTCAAATGATAATAGTGTGTTCGGTTGTTTGTGATACAGGTTTCCCAGCAGCTGCATATGCTGCATATGCAGCTGGTCGCAGCTATTCAGGATATCCTAGTTTTGGATTGCCTTATCCAACAGGTAACCATTTTTTCTATATTACATATGAACAGTAATTTTAAGATAAGATTATTCGGAATATTATGAATTTAAAAAAAATTCTGATATTTTCGCGTGTGCCATTCATTTTGATTTTGATTTCATTGGATTTTGTTTGAGAGTGAAAAGCTTTGTTTGCTCTACCAAACCCCTTAAACATACAACATACAACGGTCCATGTGATCTCCCATCTAACACATATGTTTTTTTTTTAAATAACAAACATCCAAGCAAAAACAACAAAATATCTAATCCTTTCGGCCATTTGCTTTGTTGTTTTCTATATTTTGGCACCTTCGAAAATACGGAACGAAGTATAATGAGCAAATCAAAAGAAATTTCGTTGTAGGAACCGTTTAGAGTTTGGCGTATGAAAAGTATACTTTTTTTTTCAAATATTCTGGGGATATGTGGCGATGCTAACGGTATTGCTTTCAATGATGGTATTTGAACATCAGCTGGAAATTAAAACTAAAAACTCGTTAACAACAGAGAAATGCACTGAATGTTTTTCAATCAAATATTGTGCGGTTCACAGTTTTCAATTAAAAAAGAATTAGGTTAGATATCATTTATCGCTCCACTTGTATTAATTTTCGTAAATCTCTCATTTTATCTCGAATATATTTCTTATACCGAGGAAGCTCAAAGCTTTTCAAATGGTTTCCACTAGTTTACATTATGAAGATAACATGTTGATCTTTAAAAATGGTAGAAAATACGCGCTCGATTTTATTTCATGTTGTATTGACCCGTTTTTATTTTGTTCGCAAATCAGTTGATTATTTATAATTGATTCTATACGAATGCGATTGTATAAAATTCAAGCAGTCATGATTTTATTTTTCAATTATAATAATGTGAAAGCGGTTGTCTTTTTTTCACATTTTTTGTCCAGATGATATTGCGACTAGAAGTTTAAATCAAATCACTTTTAATATTAGTTTCCGAAATATTTATAAATTTTGTTGAGTGTTGTCTATTTTATCTTCATTGCATATCAACAGCAACAACTTCTTAATCAAATCAATTAGAATAAATGGATAGTAGTTGAATAGCCATTGCTATTCTCATTATTTCATTCAATATACACAAAAATTCACATTCGCCTCGGGTCCAACAGTGCAAATACATTGAATCGGCACAGTCAAACTTTATTCTTTTTCATACTTTATTTTGAACAGATTGAAATACTCGTCGTTTATATACTCAAATGAAATCGTTAAATTTCATCCGTATTCCAAATATTCCCTCTCAGCAAATCATACGTACCTGATTATGAATCTCCATTTAAATATGCCGAAAAAACAGTTAGAATACTTCAAAATAGATTCAGACCGAAGAAATTATATGAATTCAAATTATTTGTTCTCATTTTTTTACGCAATTATGAGAGAGCAAAACTATTTGCCGCTTTTGTTTTTGCACTTTGGCTCTGTTTCAATTGAAAACCAAAACCTCTTAACTTTGAACGATCCTTATAATGATTAAAACCGACATTTTCCACAAAAAATAAATAAAAGCATAATTGTTAAAACTATTTTCCACTTTGGATTCGTTTTTATATTTTTTTTGTGCATGTTCTGTTTAATGGTTCACTATTGTACTACAAATAACCCACAAAATATTGTGCATTCTTTCATATAAATTGTCCGTAAAAAAATTAAGAGGATACAAAATAATGCGAAAACCATTGCTCGCTAGCAACGAGTAGTAATTTTTGTTGGTTTCAAATGTGGTCGGACAAATTACATTAATATTAATAAATATGATAGAGAAGAGAGGGTGGGCGCAGTGCATTAGATTCGAGCGCTACTTACGCAATCCCTGCTAGTCAGGTTGAAAACCACCGAAATGTGTACAACTTTCAATTAACCAATTCCTAAAGTAAGTAATCACGGTGAATATACTTTTGTTTTCGAGTTTTTGTTGTTGAACAAATTGAATGTGATTTTTTTCTTCTGAAAAACAAATCGAAAAAAAAAATAAGTGGCGTAATAATAACTTATGGCAAGTCCCAACTAAAAAAAATCATTTTCATTTTTATTGCTCGAAAGTCGAATTTATTGTGAGAAATGGTCTCAAATTCTTCAAAAATTTTCCAGTTTACATCACCAAAAATATATCAAAACGTTCAAAAAATGTCCGTTCCTAACATTTTTTTTTGCGAACATTCAAGTTTTAGTACCAAGAAGAATGCTATTGAGCTATTTACGTTTTTTATACTATGTCAACATCATTTGTCATCAAACCCCTCGGACCCCTGCTCAGAAGCTATGGTTGAAAAGCGAAGAATAAATATTTATAAAAAAAACATCAACAACAATATAGACACACAGCGCCGTCGTTGGAACGATGGAGATCTGGCTTATGTATAGATGTCCCTCGAATATTTTTTTGTTGTGAAGCGATGATTTCTTCTTTCATTTCCAATTGGTCAACGGGTCTCGACGGGTCTATATATTATTGTATTTTTTTCTCGTCTTCGTTTCTCAGAGACCAAAACCATTGAGACCACAAATTGCCGTTCAATACCGATTTTTACTTGGCGACCATTTATATTTGGGTTTATTTCAGGTCAAATCCATTATTTTTTGCCAAAGAAAATTCGGATATCCTTTTAATTTTTTTACGTATACTTTTTAATCAAATTATCACCAATTTGATTAAAAATCAAATAAAATATCAAGCAAATGTGTCTATGGAAAATCTGAAATCGTCAAAACTGCATCATAGATTTTTTCATGATGTACCTAGCTTACTGTTTCCACTCACACAGCCACTGATTTTTGCATTTAAATGTGTTCAAAAAGTTTTTCGGCTGTAAGATTTTGCATTGCAAAGCATCAACATAAAAACACTTAATAACAAGAGTTTCACTGACCTCAGCATATCATTTTAGGCAAGCATTTTACAGTTTGTTCTTGGGTTCCATCGTCTGTATGCATATTAGAGATAAAAAAAAGAATATAAAGGACATAGCAACGATATTTACGAGATTAAATGCAGAGAATGGAAGGAGAGAGAGATAGAGAGCGTGCGAACGATGAAAATGTATCGTATAGCATTGTAGGTGCAAGTACATGCTAAATTTAAACCACTAATTCCAAACACTCTGACCATTCACTGCATAATAAATACGATTTTCATGTAAGTGTCGTATTAGCGGTCGATTTTGTCATATAAAATGGTATTTTATCGCTTAGAATTCAATGTATTCGGTACCATTATCATCTACCAAAAATATAAAGACTATGTACCATAACAAGCCATGTGCATTCTCGCATACCCATGACTGGGACATGCCATAGCTCTGAAAATTGCTTTTATAGTCTATATCGGTTTATGCAAATGCACGAACTTTTTATGAATCTATATCGTAGTTTGGGCTGGCCATATATATAAATGAGATGAGGTTGAATTGAGAAAATATCCTTTGAAAATTGCCACAAAACTACCGAAAAAAACGCTCACATTCATATGTTAAAATGTGTTTGAAAGTGGCTTTAACTTTATGAGGAAATTGCAAATCAAATACCAAATGAGTGAACTTTTCATGGTTTTTCTTTTCTTTCTTTCTTTTTCTCGATTGGCAAATGCGACAACATATTTCTATCGTTGCTATTATCGTTGGTGCAATTGCAAATGCGCGAACAGTCTACACAAAGTTGTGCGTCGTAGTTGGTGTTAACAATGACGGTTAGTTTAACCTCTAATATGCACGCGTTGCATAAAGCACATGTACGAAAAAAAGGCATCAGCTTGTATGTGTGCCAGTGCAAGCGTAGTTCATAGATGTACATTGAATATTCTATGTAAAATGACGACAGAGTGTTCGTCAGATAAAGCAAAGATGCAATATAATTACTCATTGCGAAGAAGAAAAAAATAGAACCGACATGCAAACTACGTGTATGCAACAATGACTGAGGATGCAACGACGTCAAGATAGAGTTTGGAGATGTAGGGGTTAAAAGAGTGCGAAAGCACTCTTGTTGTATGGAAAATGCACTACAGTCGATTTTTGAGCATAAAGTAGTTTTAAGCATTATACAGAGTATACAAGTTGAAAGAAGATTATGCATGATCCTATGGAAAACATCATGTTCATTTTGAACCATTTCCGATGCATTTTGGCATCTCATTCCAAAATTCGAATTCAAAGTTCTACTCATATATAGTTTTGCGTCTATCACATTGGATACATTTTTTTTATTACTTTGGGTACAAATATTAACTGGACTTCTCTCTATACGACAAAAGGTTAATTTCAATGTGTCGATGCATATTTCCTCCAATTCCTTTCACTCTCCCGCTCCCCTCTCTCTTTTGCACACTCTATTGATCAGCGTCTAACGAATATGGCCATTGGCAAGTATTAAAGTAAAAAAGCGCTGGTGCATTCATAACAAGATTCATTTTTGGTTTCGCTTCTTTTGTTGCATCGATTAGTTGGGAGTCAACATTGGGGAGTTTTTCTTAATCCAAACCACACAAATGTTTACTATGTGTGTGTGTGCGTGTGTGTGTGACTGAATGGGAGCGAAATTTATCAATGAAAGCGTTTCGCTGCAATAAAATCTAATGTTAAACAATATTTTGTAATAATCCATCGCAAGCAGGAATGATTTTACATGCGTACGATTTTGGTTTTACCATATCACAACGATATCTATTCCCGTGCACTCTCACATTTTGACCTCAATACAAAAGCAACGCATTTGGAAAACTTGCATACATGCCCACATGCATTCGCACATACACACACACACACAATCCACACTCTCTCTCTCTCTCTCTATCGGGCGCATCGCAAATGATATGTTACATTTGCATGTGCTGTGCAACTACCATGTCGAATGAAGAAACCCGCTGGTAATTATAATACAGAATCCACACATAAAATAATGCATTCGACCAAATGTGTGAATTTGTGTAAGACACAGATGCATTGAAATACAGCAGGGTGGATTGAAATTTTA